GGGGGGGGGGGGGGGCGGGGGGACGGGACGACAGGCTGATGAGGAGGTGAGATCTTGGGACAGAGTTCAGTCAGCCCCATCAGCTCCCGCCATCATTTGAGTTCGGTGAATGGATTTTGGTATCATATGCAAGAAAAGCAAGGGCCTCACCCACCCCGCTGGGGTCCCCGGCCTTCCCCACACACTCTGCTTTACCCTCCATCCCACCAGGAACCCCTCAACAAAGGTTAAGGAATAGAGGTCTAGGTTCAAGCAGGGGTGGGGGGAGATGGGAGGAAGGGGGAGGATTGATGAGATGGACATGGAAGGTGACGGGGAGGGTGTAGGAAGGGCGTGGAGGGCAGAGGCACACCGACCCCTCTGGGCAGCCCGAAGCCTAGGCTCTCACGCCTGTCTGCTCCCAGTTGGCACTCCCTGGAGGTCTTTGGAATATGGAGGTTCCATTCAGCCTTAGGCTGAGAGTAAGGAGTCTTCATGTGTGTACGTTTCTAAAGGAGGTGCTGTGTTGTTTCTAGAATAACCCCTAGATAAACCCCTTCTGGCAACTCCTAGTCCTGTGTAAGACAGAAGCTAGCCGCGCCCAGCGCCGAGCTTTCGGCCCAGACGCTCTGGCACCCCTTCCTCCCCCAGTCCAGTCACCCGTCCTCTCTGTTTTGCAGTATGGGAAGGAGAAGTTAGGATGTGCTGAGCAAGGGCTCCACCACCGAGCCACACCCCAGCCCTCGGGGGGTTCTAGGGAAGAGCTGTACAGCCAAGGGACCAGCCCCCCAGGCTTTTCCGCACCCAGGGCCTGTGCATGTGGCCTTTCGTCCTTCCAGGTCTCAGGTCACTTTCTCAGACAGGCTTCCCGAAGTTGGCTGTGGTGGTACCTACCCACAATCATAGCACTGTCCACACTGAGAGAACACGTCAAGTCTGGGAGAGGCTCAGAGAGAACCTTTCCTCCTCATGGTGGGGCAATGTAACAGCTACCACTGCTGTGTCCCAAAGTGTAGTAGCTAAAACAACAAGAAATTTGGGGTGGGGGCAGGGTCTTGTTTTGTCGCCCTAGCCAGCTTCAGGCTCACGGTGGCCCTGGCCCAGCACCCCAGTGCTGTGATTACAGATGTGGACCACCATGCTTGGCTTTCCTATCCCTCTCCTGGCCACTGGCCTCCGACTCTTCACCCTCTCGTCTCCACAGACCTGGCTCCAGCTAGGTCCCATCCTCTGGTCCCGAGATGATCACCTAGCTTCCTTCCAGCCTCGTGAGCTGCTCCCTCCCTCCATCTCCTGGCCGCTAGCTTGGCCCGCTTTCCGAGTTCTTATGTCCCTCTCTCTCCTCTGCTAGGTCTATGCCTGTTCTCTACTTGGCCGCCAGAGACTGAGTCTGCTCAGGGTGAACCCAGCTCTTAGAATCAGGGAGAACTCGCCGGGCTCACTCACATCCTGCACTTAAGAGTGTCCAGGCACACAATCCATGTTAGTGACTGGATAAAAAATGCCCAGAGAGGGATGCAGACAGGTGAGGGTAGGGTGGGTCAGCGGTGGGGTGGGGGATGGGGTGAGCAGGTCCGAGGTGGAAGTTGGGGCTGGGTTAGTTCTGGAGTGTTAGTGAGGACTAGGCAAGTCCTGGGGTGACAGTGGGGTCAGTGTCGGGAACTGGGTGCAGCTGTTCACCGTGGGTGAGGGTCTCGGTCAGTGGGAGAGCATGTTCTCAGAGAGGTTAGTCGGAGGTACAAAGGAAGGGGGTCAGGAGGGCCGTGGTGGGGAACTACTTACCCTAGGGGGAAGGGGGCTCGTCCACTAGGGGGATATCCAGGCCGCTGCGTTGGCGTTGAGGTCGGCCAAGAAGCTTGGGGGGCCCGGCTTACGCCAGTATGGGGGGGGGAGTGGGGGAGCACCAGTGGCTGGGGGTGAGGGGAGAGGCCGGAGAGTCAGGGTGGGCGGGGGAGATGGAGATGAAATAAACACAGGTGAGGAAACCTGGGGCTCAGGGGGAGGGAGGAGGACAGGGCGGGAGGCAGTTTGGGGCTGAGGGGGAGACAGAGGGAAGTCCAGCACCTCCCCCACCCCCTCTCCGCCCTCCCCTGGGCTGGGGAGAGAGGAAGGGTCTCTGGGGAGCCCCTGGAGGGCACCTCACCTTTTCGGATGGAGCCATCAGGGGAAGGGGCGTAGTCAGTGACCAGGAAGCAGGCTCGGTCCCGGCTGTAGCGGCCCCGGCTTCCAGGAGTGATTGGGCTCTTGTCTTCTGGAGACATGGCTGGCTGGTCGATAGCGGGGCAGTCCTCATGGGCCAATGCAGCTGCTGCAGGGTCCCCGTTGGGGCGGGGGTCTACTGCAAGGTGAGGGGTCACAGACAGAGGACAGAGACTGAAGGGAGAAGGTGGCGGTGAAGGGCACTGGAGGGACCGAGAGTCAAGAGTGACCCCGGGGCACGGGGTACAGGGCTGCTGGTGAGGTGGCTGGGGAGGGTGGGGAGGGCAGATGGGATGGAGGGTGCGGACAGAGGCCAGTGCTAGGAAGTGGCTTTGTGTGAGCATGTGAGTGTCCGGACTTGGTATTGGGAGGGTAGCTGCGGCTGCTGTGGTTACTGCAGAATGGGCAGGGTAGTGCCCACCTATCATCCCATCACTCGGGAGGCTTAGGCAGGAGGATTCTGAGTTCGAGGCCAGCCTGGGGTACATAGTGGGAGTCCCCCCAAGAAAGAACAAAAAAAAAAAAACAAAACAAAAAGGTGGGTGCTGGGCGCAACCAGCATTAAGGTGCCGAGCACTGGCGGGGGACAGGGAGGACGTCACGGGCTGTGAAGTGGTTGATCAGGGACAGTGTGGGGTGCTGCAAAGGGCAGGGTGGGGAAGGGCTGGGGAGGTGAGGGAGGGTGAGGTGGGGGTCCCCTAGGTTCTGACTTGATCTATTTTTAATGGATGGGAAACTGGGTCAGTGGCTAAGGGAACAAGATGGGGGGCCGGGCAGACTAGCTCATTTTCTTGACCTACTTAAGGCCTGGGGGGGCTCACCTCCTTCCTCCAGGACACCCAAGTCACTGCCTGCAAGAAACAGAGTCCCCCAGGACACACGCAACATGCAAAATCAGGCACAACCACCAGCTTGCTCGTCTCCTCCCTCCCCTTCTTGGCCTGACTCCTTATTTTAAAAACTTCATTTGAGACAAAGTCTTGCTCTATGGCCCAGGCTGGCTTTGAACTCACCCCATCCTTCTGCCTTTGCTCCCCAAAAGTTGGGATAACAGGTGTGCTCCAGTAGACCTGGCTGACTCTTCTCGTAGCAAGAGCTCTCTGGAGCCCTCTGGGGATCCCTGTTTTTCCAGGGCCTCTGCAGACCCTGCCTGGCCGCTCTGCACCCTGACTGTTCTGCCCACAGAACCCGCTTAACTTCGGCCCTCGGTCTTTGCAGGCCTCTCCCTTTGCCTGCAGGTGGGTCCTGAACGCTGTCCTGCTGACCGCCCACTCCATCTGTCTCCGTCTCTTAAACATGGTGGTATTGGCAGGGTTGCTTCCCCCAGCTCAGGCTGTCACAGTCACATACTGTGATGGCGCCCGGGCCTGTCCCTAGCCTTCCTAGGTCATGGGAGACTCCCTGGGTTTTACAGAGTTCCTTTCTGAGACAGGGTCTCATGTAGCTCAGACTGGCCTTGAAATCCTGATGTTCCCGCCTCTTCCTCCTAAGTACTGGGGTTACAAGAATGCATCGCCATGCCTGGCTCTCGTTCCTCTTTCTTTTTTCTTTCTAGCTCTCCCTCTCTCTTCCCTTTTCTTCTCAAATACAAATAGGAGTGTCTCTTTCTTAGGAAATTGTCTCTAAGAATGGGAGTGGACTAGTGGCCCAGGAAGCCACTCAAAACCTCTCTTTGCTTGTTTTCCTGAGGCAGGGTCTCCGTATGTATGTAGCCCAGGATAGCCTCAAACATGTGTTGACCCTCCTTCCCCAGCCCCCAGTGTTGGAATCATGAGGGAGTGCCCTGGGCCCTGCTTTCTCTCTTCCCCTCCACCCTCCTTCCTTTCCTTTTCTCTCTTTTCATTTGAGACAGGGACATGTAGCTCAGGCTAGCCTGGAACTCCTGATCCTCCTACCTCTACCTCCGGAGTATGGGAGATACCAAGTGCCTCCAAGGGATGAGAGGCATGCCCCACCATGCCTGGGTCTCTTTCTAAAACGCTGCTCTCACTATGTTGTTCAGCCCAAGGGCCTCTCAGAGCAGCCTGGCGACATTCCACCTTCAGGAACTCTCTTGCACATGGAGGCCTGTCTCGATGGCCCCTCCTGCCTCTTCTCTAGCCTTCCAGCCATTTGTCCTTTCTCTGTCTGCTGTTGCCTCCCCTCCACCTCCAGGTCCCCCCACTCCCAGTCCTGGCCCAGACTTACCTGCTCTGTTGGTTTCAATCACCTCTTCTTGAGCCAGTGGGCAGGGCTCACCAGGGGCTGGCAGAGGAGGCAATCCCATGATGCCCAGTCCCCCAGCACCACCCCTGAGCAGCCCAGGGTGTGTGTGGGGTCCAGGCGGGTAGGCCCCAGCCACAGTCACCCCCATGGAAGGAGGGGTGATGGGCGGTGGTGGGCTGATGCCACCGCTGCCGTGGTGGGGGTGTGGTGGGGGTGGAGGCGGGGGGTCAGGCTTGCAGTAGTTGGGTGAGCCAGGCTGTGGAGGCCTGGGGATGTGTTTGTTTTTCTTCTTTGGCAATTTCTGCTTGGCCATAGCCAGTGAATAGTACATGCCGAAGTTGTTGACGATGACGGGTACGGGCATGGCGATGGTCAGCACACCGGCCAGCGCACACAGCGCCCCGACCAGCATCCCAGACCATGTCTTGGGGTACATGTCTCCATAGCCCAGGGTGGTCATGGTGACCACGGCCCACCAGAAGCCAATGGGGATGTTCTTGAAGTAGGTGTGGTTGGAGCCCAGGATGTCATCAGGGTCGGCACCAATTCGCTCAGCATAGTAGATCATGGTGGCAAAGATGAGGACCCCCAGAGCCAGGAAGATGATGAGTAACAAGAACTCGTTGGTGCTGGCCCGGAGTGTGTGGCCCAGCACACGCAGGCCTACAAAGTGACGGGTCAACTTGAAGATCCGCAGGATGCGAACAAAGCGGACGACGCGTAGGAAGCCCAGCACGTCCTTGGCAGCTTTGGAGCTGAGGCCTGAGAGGCCCACCTCCAAGTAGAAGGGCAAGATGGCCACACAGTCGATGATGTTCAGGCTGCTCTTGAGGAACTCCACCTTATCCGGGCAGAAGGTGACTCGCATGAGAAACTCAAAGGTGAACCAGACCACACACACGCCTTCCACGTAGGTCAAGAAGGGTTCTGTCTCCACCTCCACATTGGTGATGTTCTCTGGGGGAGCCCCAGGGATTGGGGAGGCCTGCGTCACCGTCTTGTTGCTGATGTGGATGAAGCCCTCATGTGTCTCCAGGCAGAAGGTGGTGATGGAGATGAGGATGAAAAACAGGGAGGCAAAGGCCACATACTGCAGGAGGATGGGAGAGAGAATGGGGGTGACCAACACATCTGCATCACTGGAGTCTAAAAACCCTTCTAATGGCCTCCATTCTCCACCTCAGGCCCATATCCCACAAGAATCTAAGTGCCCCTACTTAGAGGTTCTGCCACTTCTAGCAACCCATTCTGAGAAAGGAACAGAGGCCCAGGGCAGGATTGCCACAGCTGACCCCGAGGAAGAGCACTTGCTGGGCTCCATATCAGAGTCCCCCAGGAGGATTCAGATAGTCTATTTGGGGATGGGCATGAGAGGCATGACCACACTACTCATGTCTCAGAGGTGTGGGACTCCACACGGAGCTGGGGAAGGGAGAGGGCAGGTGGGGACACAGGGCTTTATTTCTGTGGCACTCGGGATGCAGCCCACAGCCTTATGCAAGCCAGATAGGCACTTGGTTCCTGAGGTACATCTCTAGCCCTCTAACTTTAATTTTGAGACAGGGTCTCATTAATTTGACCAGACTGGCCTTGAATTTGTAGTCCTCCTGCCTCCTGAGGAGCTGGGATGACAGACCTGCATGCCACTAGGCCCATCTCAAAAGCCTGGGTTTGAATTTGTTGAACTGGAGCAAGGGTTAAGCTTTCTGGATCTGAATTTTGTTTTTTAATGGAATTGTTATGAAGATTTGGTGAGTGTACAGAGGGCTTGCTTCCAAAAACAGTGCTTGGCTGAGTGCCTGGAACACAGTGAGAGCTGAGCTGTTACTAGGGTACAGTGGATCAGTGAGCTGGGGCAAGGATGAGGGGTCAGAGATGGCTGGGATCTGAGGACCCCAGCGCAAGTGAAAACAGAGAGACCCGGGGGTAGTTTGGGGATGGAATGAAAGAGTGGATGTGGGGGAAGCTGAAGAGGGAAGGCCTCCTGGGAAGAGGACCGAGAAGCCTTGTGGATGGGGAGGGTTATGGTTCTGGAGAGGTAAATTCAGGAGCCTAGACTTTGGGCCAACATCCAGCAACTAGGGAGTGAGTAGCTTATGCTTTGTCAAAGTGGGGGAGACCCAGAGTCTTGCTACATAGTAAGAAAGAGGGGGCTAGATCGGGATCTGGAAGAAGTTGAGCTAGGGGGTCAAGGTCCTAGGGATGGCGTTTTTATAAGATGGGGGGGGGGTGTTGGAAAGCGAAGGGTGCTGTGGGAGGCAGGTGCTTGTGGGTCTGGACCTTTAACCTCAAGCAAAGGCCAGAGAAGGGGGCCAAGTGGGGGTGATTTGAAGTGGGAAGAGGACTGAGAAGCCTTGTGGATGGGGACGGGTTATGGTTCTGGAGAGGTGAACTCAGGGGCCTGGACTTTGGGCCAGAGTCTAATAACTGGGAGGTGAGTAGTCCCTGGGCCTTAGGGTAGGCTAGGAGAGTGGTCAGTAGTGTAGACCACCGACTTGGTTTCTCTGCAGTGGAGAAGAGGCCAGAGGTCTCCGCAGAGCGCATGCCTGGGGCCTCCCCGCCCCCAACCAGCAGGCTGCGGTACTGCAGTGGGGGCGGGTCGGCCCGGCCCGGAGCAGGGCGAGCGGCGGCCAGTACCACGGACAGCTCCCCCGCCGCAGTGCGCAGCCGCAGTGGCCTGGTGGCCTTAACTCCTTCCAGGCTGAAGCGCCACAAGCCGGCGCGCAGCCGCAGTACCTATGGCTTCGGCTTCGCAGTTAAAGGCCACCGGGCCTATAATTTGCCTAACCCCTTCCCTCCCAGGAGCCCAAGGAAGGGTGGGCACCCGCTACGGTGCACAGGTGCAGGGCTGGTTTCCCCTGAAGTGACTCCGAGGGTACCAAGGCTCTATAAAGAAAGGAAAGCGGAGCCGGGAAGGTTGGACCCTGAGCTTGAAGGTGGTTTGTGGTCCCAACTTGCAAGAAGGTCCACCTGGAGGTTGGAAAGTACCAGGCACACAGCGGATATTCAAATAAACAAACAAATAAAGAATAAATAAATAAATCGGTGCAATAAATAAATGAGTGACCTTCGTAGCCATTCTGGACCCCTAGCCTGACCATCACCCAAAGACTTCCTCACAGTCTCAGCACCCTTCAATGGGGTCACAGGAAGGAAGGGCGCCCCAAGCCATCGAGTGGGGGAGGAGATGCTCGAGGCCGAAAAGAGCATCTGGGGCCATGTCCCTCCTGCCCCTCTTTCTTTCCCTTCCCCCCAACTCAACCCCCAAATGTTGCCAATTCAGCGCTTCTCAGGACTAAAACTTTATGCGAAGCCTCCGGTCCCCGTCCCCCCCCCCC